TTACTTCAAAAACCAATCAACCCTTTTGTATCTCATTTGCCTTTGAGCAGATAAGAAGCTTAAAAAAGTAAAATTACAGTATTTACTCAAAAACTAATCTCCGCTGGGCTAGTTTTCCACCAGCCCCTCTCCAATCTGCAGCAACATTTTCAAAGATTCCTTTTTCCTGTGGCCAATATTTCACTTGTTGTCAATTTCAATTCTTAGATCAATAAATCAAAAGCTCTTATTTCTTGAAATATTGAAAAAGCAAGAAGCTAAAGGTAATATTTAATTTCGTATGTAAAGAAAGAAACTGGATTTGCATAAGGGAGAGAGACATAGGACTAAAGTGCTTGTGACCATGACAAACCAAGCTGATCAAAGCTGGTGTAGGCAGAGTAGAAGCAACACTCTTTGGTACCCAACTGCACAGCAGGACCTGGAGAAACTCCTGCTCTGCATTCAGTAGCTTAGAAATTGGTAGCTGCAGGATCTACCTAGTGGAGTGCCCATCAGCTCCAGAGACTTTCTGCTGTTTGCCATGCCCAAGCTCTTCTCTAGGTTGTAGACCTAGTTTCACTGGGATGAACTTTACCCTCCAGAAAATATCTTGGAATGGTCTTGCAACGCCTTTAATTGCACTGTGGTCTGATCCAGATAGTCAGAAAAATATCATCTATGCAGGTTTGACCCAACTGGATCAACTGGGCAGGAAAGACACCATTATCCATGACTGTGGATGTAAGGTTAAGATGATGTTTGTCAGATGTGATAGAATCTAGAGTGGGTGAAAAAGCCTGCTAATATACTGAATAGGTCCACCCACGGTATCTGTTCTTTCAAACTGTGCCTATACAGCATATATCTTAACTACACTGCTGTACTCAACACTTCTGACAGGATCAGCAGAGTTACAAAGACACACATCAGTACAAATGAAAAAAACCCCCCAAACTCTGGCTCTGACTTCAAGAGCAGAACATCAGAGAGAATATATGGAACTTCTCAACAGCTGTGTCTTAGTGTGCAGCATTCAACTTTCAGCATCAAAGTAAGACTGACCTGTGCTCCATTCACAGATCATGACAGATCACAGAATCATAGAATACCAGGTTGGAAGGGACCTCAGGGATCATCAGGTTCAATCTTTCCTGGCCAGTCATGGTCTAGACAAGATGGCCTAGCCAAATCTGCAAAGTGTCTTATGCAGGAAGGCTGCTTAGTGCAAACATTAACCATACTTCTGAATATGTTCCAGTTTAGTTGGGGGGGGGGCTTTTTGTTGTGGATTCTTTTTTTTTCCCTTTTTTTTTTTTTTTTTTTTTTTTTTTTTTTTTGTTGATTGTTTTGTTTGTTCTGGTAGTGGGGTTTTTGTTTGGTTTTTGTTTGTTTTGTTTTGTCTGTTTGGGTTCAAAATACTTTCTGCTAGAGGTACAGTCAGTTCTGGGAGCCTTGTAGCTCTGTCTGCAGGTATTGCACTGAATATGTTTACCTGAGAGACAAGACATAGTAGCAGGAGACCAATCACTCACTAACAAGTCTGATAAAATCCATCTGTTGTCACCCTAGCCTGGATTCCCAGAGATGCTAGAGTCCCTGAGAGTCCCAGGTCAGTGAATGGGTGGAGGTTGGTTGAGCCCTGGAAGAAAACAATATTTATTTCCACAGGGTTCTTTGCTCTTCACTTTGCTCCTCACCAACTCTCTGGTGACTCGTAAGGTGATTAGGTGTCTAGTCTGACCTAGTATGGTTGCTGTTGTTACAGAGTGTGAACAGAACTAACAAGCAACCCTTCACATATGGCTGTAGACATGCTCTTCTATGCAATGAATATTAAATCCTGACGTAATGAAATGGGACAGAGTAACAGCTCCTTCTAGTTCAACTTTTTGATCTGTCTTTTAAATCATTAACCATTAACAGATGCACTGAAAGCTTGCCTGGGAGATGACAAAGGACCACCAGTCCCCACTCACAAGCACAGGAAGCCAGGGTCCATCAGCAGAAATACATGCTTGGAGTGAAAATCCAGTCCCACCAAGTGTTGGCATTCACCTGGATGTGAACAAGATTTCACATTTATTTCTGGATAGTTCTAATGAGTCTTTTGTCTAGACTGAACATTCATGGGTACACTTTGAAACACACACAGTTTTCCCAAAAAAGGGAATAGTCATTGAATTCAAAAGTAAGTTGACAGCAGTCACTATTTACCCTGCCTTCACCCTCTGCCTGAAAAAATTACTCAGGATATTTATATCTCAAGACTGAGGTTGCATCAGAACCATTTCTGTTGACATATAATGATATGATTTTAGACATCAAAAGTTCTCTTTAGTCCCAGACTAGACACAGTATTTCACTTATTTAAGTAGAGTTTTCAATCTGCAAATTTCATTTGTGATTTTTTTTTAATATAAAAAGGAACCAAACAAAATCTACACTTTACTCAAGCAGTAACTGAAGGAAAAAATTAACATTTCTGAGAGGGTAGTGAGGCACTGGAACAGGTTACCCAGAGAAGCTGTGGATGCCCCATCCTTGGAAACGTTCAAGACCAGCTTGGATGGGATTTGAGTAACCTGTTCTAGTGAAAGGTGCCCCTGCCTACGGCAGGGAGGTTGAAACTAGGTGATTTTTAAGATTCAACCCAAGCCATTTTATGATGATTATTCTACCTCTGCTCAATGCTACAACTTCTTCACTTAAAATAACAGCAGTGTCAAAAAAATAAAAAAAAATCTTAAACATAACTACATATTTAATCTTTGCTTCTGCGGTTGCTCCAGTCTCAGTAATGCGCAATATTTGGAGGAATTTGACTATAATTGAAGCCCTCTGGTTTTTTTTAGTGTGTATGTGTGTCTCTGCGTTACAAAATTCTGCATCTCTAGAGGTGAGCAGACACCATGTGCCACCTACTTTGTGTTTTTCTTCGGAGGTTTGACTTATTGAGAAGTAAGCTTAATGCAAATAAAATGACTTTCCCCTCCTGGCATTTGGCAGTCATACAGGACTGTAACATAGGAGCAGACAACCTAGAGACATTCGCTTCTCAGAACTGTGTTCAGAAAGAATAGTAAGCATTTAAATTCAAAATGAACCATCTGTGACAACCCCTAAGCAGTGCCTCATTTCAGTAAGTGCAAGCCTGGAAATGAAAGTGAAATTGTACATAACTGTCAATTAAAATAATCTAATATAGACTTTTCTGCCTTTAGGGAGAGGCTGGGTACATATTTTCTGGAAGCCCACTCTTTTTCATTTCCTTAGCCTAAATTTTACAGTTCAGGAGAATGGACTCACATCTGCAGCCAACATATATTACACATTCTCATGGGAGAAAAGGTGCTGGAAAAGGTACTATCAATGTGGATCACCTCTGAGCAGTTCATATCCACAACTGGTACCAGATATAACCAATTCATATCAAAATTAATTCTAAAACAATATATAAGAGTGATTTCCCATCAGAAATAAGGTATTCACCATTCTCCATTTGGGAAATCTAAAATACTGTATCTTAGACAGTTGTATTCAGAAATGAAATCAGGAGAGTTTCTGTCAGTTCATTCAGACCAGAAATAAACAGAGCAATGGCAGCATAGCCAAGGTAAGTAGAAACACATGGAAATTCCTGCTTGCCCAAGCACTACATATTTATTTATACACTACATATTGGCTGGCTACACCTTTAGATTTACAGGATTTAAATCAGATCAGAATTTGGTCCTCAGAGTATTCAGCAGGCAGTTCTGGGAAAGTGTCCAGAAAAATTCAGTTAGTAAGCATGAAGACTCTGTCATTTTATAAGGTATAAGTTGCTGACTGAAAAAAAACCCGTATTGTTAGGCAGTAAAATTACAGTTTTATTTCTTATTGAATTTGGAGCTACGCTGCAAGCTGTAAAAAAATACCCAGTTAATAGAACATTGTGTATATTTACTGAATCTGGAAAATGCCATTGGGACAGCAGCTCTCAATGCTGCCAGGATACTTTCCATAGGCACTGAACTACACTTGGATGTGTGTGAATACCAAGTGTGTTTCAAGGCCTTCCATTTTATTGGTACTACTTTGTAAGGCATTTTGTCAACTGAATATGCATATGGTTATTTAAAAATGTTAAAACCTGAAAGGTATTTTAAATACTGTTTTATCAACATTCAGGTGTTAATCTATGGTTAAAATAAGTGGTATGGCAGCCGTTCAAGCTCTGCTTGCCTTCATATCCTGGTTTCACCTGGGAAAAAATTAGTTTTCTTCTTAGTAGAACAGTACTGTGTTTTGAATTCAGTATGAGAATAATGCTGATAACACACTGATGTTTTGGCTGTTGCTCATTTGTTCTTATCCTAAGGCAAGGACTTCTCAGTGGCTCATGCTCTGCCAGTGAGGAGCTGTACAAGAAGCCAGGAGGCAGCATGGCTGGGACAGCTGACTCAAACTGGCCAAAGGGATATTCCACACCATAGAGTATCGTGCTCAGTATAAACTGGGGGGAATTGGATGGGAAGGGCTGATCGCTGCTGGGGAACAGGCTTGATATCAGTCAGGGGTTGGTGAGCAATGGTGTTGTGCATCACTTGTTTTTCTTGGGTTTTGTTTCTCTCTCTTTATCCCTTTTCATGACAATTATTATTACTGTTATTATAATTAGTTCTACTACTATGTTTGACTTTGTTCCTATTATTAAACTGTTCTTATGTCAACCCAGAAGTTTTTACTTTCTCCTGATTGTCCTCCCCATCCCACTGGGGGAAGGTGGAACGAGCGAGTGTCTGCATGTGACTTAGTTATCACTAGGGTTAAACCATGACACTTGAATATGCAGAGTCCCACCACAATCAAAATCTGGTTCCAGAATTGGACCACAGCAGTGCAAATGCCCTTCTGTGTATACCTTATGAGCAAATCATGGACTTGCCGTAAACAGATCTACTTAATGAGAGCCACCCCTAGGCACAGCTGTGACTACACCATCAACCCTGCATCTCAGCTGTAACTCTTTCTTCCAGGTATTCCTTTCAAGATGAAGAAGACATGTTTATGGTGGTTGATCTCTTACTCGGAGGTGACCTGCGTTACCATTTGCAGCAGAACGTCCACTTTAATGAAGGAACTGTTAAGCTGTACATTTGTGAGCTGGCGCTTTCCTTGGATTATTTGCAGAGATACCACATCATTCACAGGTGGGTGAATTTCATTTGAGGGATGGGCTGCTTGCATTTGGCAGAGTAGAGGGATTTTATCATATATCTGATTACCTGGTTCTGTTTATTCAGAACGTCTGAAAAGTTTCCATTACTATCCAAGAGTGAAATTTGGCTCTGAAAAAGTTTTTTTTAAAGTGGTTTTTTTTCTTTTCACAGCCATTCAGTGGCCTTGTATCCTTCTCACACTGCCCTTTTCTTGTTCTGATCTCATACTCTGATATATGTTTTTAACATATAACATGTAAATACAACTATAACAGCATCCTGGCTGCTTTTAATGCATTTTTAATTTTCCAGTACCCTAGTGTTCCTGAACACAAAAACATTGTAATCCAGTACAAGAGCCTCACACAGCAACATCAGGAAATGGTCATAGAACCAAAGGCTGAGAATAATTTGTTTATTTGCAGAATCTGCCTGAAGGTCAGGAGGAAGAGAGGTGGAGATATAGATGTAATAGTAGAAACCAATTGGGATAATGATAGATGGTGCATTCTTTTTGCAATTTTTGTATTACAACAATCTGTTATTTTTCCTGCCTTACAATGGTAATCAGAGTATTCATTTCAAAAAAGATGTCAAGAATCAGGGTCTGTTTGTTTTCCTTAAACATTTTGGCATTTAACTGAGGCAGCAGGGATAACATCTCTTTTTATGTTAACACAGTAACAGTGAAATTATAAAATTATGGGCTTGAGCCTTTATTTTACTCTTTCTAGGCTAAATTCAGGATTATCCTTTATGATTTACAGTGGTCAGAATAAAAAAATAATTAGTTCTGTGTGTTACCAAGGTTAGATATGACTTCCAGAGACCAAACTAAACTAAGTTGTGCAATAGATCTTCCAGTGTCCAGTACAAACAATTTCCTTCAAATGTATTGAGAGTTTTAATCCCATCCACCTCTCAGAACTGCCTCATTTTGCAATAAAAATCGAATAAAAAGTATTATCTGACTTGCTGAAGGGGGATGGCACGCATGAAATCTCTCTGATCAGAGATGCGATGGTAGCTGGGTGTCCTGTGTTGCTGAAACTGCACAAGACAAAAGTCCAGAAAACATTGAAAAACTTGTTCTGTTTGCACTTAAAACTCCAGCAAATATTGCAAGGAAATTCTGGAACTTTGTATCCTTATTACACTGTTTTTATTTCGATACATTTCCATGTATTTTGCATAAATTTCCTTTCTTAGTGACTATTTTAAAAGTGGAGCTCAGAATTTCAGCTGACCTTTGTTTCTAATGCCTTAGGAAATGTTCTCAGTGAAAAACAAATTGATGAGCATTTTTCTCACCTTCATTTTAATGACAAGACATTTTATGCAAATAAGGCTGGCAAAATATTCATGAGAAAATCCAGTTTGTAATCAAAACTAGTATTTTGCTAGAAGTCTGGGGCTTAAAAATGTTTCATAGAAAATCCTGTGAAACATAGCAGATGTCTTGAAAGAATGAAGGATTGAAGTTATTGTGGTTGTTCATAGTTTTTGTGGCAGTGTCTGCCTTATCATGGTTCCACTATGAAATTGGGCAAACACTTTGACCTCTTCTGTGTTACTTAATCATGAAAAGTAAGCACTTGACTTTACTTAACTTTTTATTTCGCCCAGGTTGTAGTGACTTGTTGATTTGTACTGAGGCAGGGGAAGGCATGAGAGTCTGGAGCTGGTTATTGTCTCCATTTGAGGGCAAGTTCTGGGATTTGGTTTTTGCTTTCACTCTACCACAAAAGTTTTGACAAAAACAGGTGTGCAAAAATACTTCTCTGTCAGCCTGCAATGGGTCTCACTGGCTGGTTGGCTGGAATTGTTGTTTAGGGTATAAAGGATCTAGTTCAGGACTTTGCTGTGTTATAGAAGAGATGTTTATTTTGAGGCTGGCAGACCTGAGATCTTAGTGTGTCTGTCCCACTTCACTGCTTATTGCCCAAATGACCCAAGTGTGGCACAAGGAGCCTTTTGTCTCATATTCCCACCAATTACTGCAAAATCCCAGATGATCCACATGCCAGTGAACATGTTATTTAGCCAGGTGAGTCCCAGAACATTCTGCCTTCTATCTAGCCACCACTTGGAACAGCAGTCTGTGGGATGGGTCTTCAACTGCCTTAAATCTCTGTAGCATGTCTGGCATGCTGACTTAAATTGGTTCAGGAGCAGAGCCAGCACTGATGCACAGTGAGGAGACATCTAGCCATTACTTTATCACTGCAAACACACCATCTCGTTCGGAGATGAAATCAGCGAGCTGGTTGGTATTTACACTTTGTGGCAGCACACCTTAGCAATATCATTGTTACCAGGTGCTTCCAGTCAGCATTCACACACTAATCTACAAAACTGTATTGGGTCTTCCATTCTAAAATGAATGCGTTGGCAGCAAAGGGGAAAAAAAAGGTTAGTGAGTCAGGGAGTCATTGAGAGAGCCCCCTACTAAATTTTGTCTGGGTTACAAAGAAAGAATAGTCTAATGATTCATCAGACTGGGAGGTAGATTTTCAAATTGGAGTACTATAAAGAGCTGAATATATGATGTAACGCAGCCCGGGTAGGGACATGGGGAAGTTCACTCAGGGTTTGACACAGATTGCAGCGTGGAAAGGAGTGAACAACTTTATTAAAATGGCTCCCCCTTTTATGGGGGAGCTGGGAGAACTTTCCAGAGTATGGTGAATAAGGGGAGGAGTTTTGGGAAAGAGGAACAACGATTGGGTATAGAGTACAAAGGGGAGGGATAACAATAGAATATGCCTAAGAAGGGAGTGGAACTCTTGTGGGAATGAACCATTACAACATAGGGATAGGGACAAACGACTATTAAAAAACATTAAAACAGCCTTAAACATGTAATTTCTCTCCATTCAACAGTCTCAGTCAAACAAGTTGATTCCTCTTCTTCCACGACTTCTTTCAATGCCACAGCCCAGTACTGGTAGCCTTTTCTCTCTGGTTCTTCAGAATCCTCATCCACATGATGTGTGAATCAGGAGCTTAACTCCTCTTAATATTTACAGATGTCTATGAAATGTGTTCAGGTTTCCATTACGATTGCATTTGGCAACACAACAGAATGGGTTTTTCTAGACTAACCTGTGGCCTCAGGAGTTTGCTACAAAAGGAAATGGTAATGAAGGGGACAAGAATTATCAGGCATGAATGGATGGATGCAGAAGCTTACAGACCAGTACTGTGCCATTCCCCTTGGAGATGCCTTGCCATGCTTCTGTGTTTGCTGATGTGCTTAGTGGTGTGTACTTTGAATGTGGCGATCATTTCAGCAACAGAACTATTGTTCCTGCAGGGAAAAATTTACCCATAAATAGTGTAAAAACACTACTGTTCTGGTGTATTTATGAAACTGGTCATTTTTAATAATCACATCCATGTGTATAAAATCCATATTTTTCATGCACAGTCCTGCAATAGTGGATTTATTTATTATGGCACAATAATGAATGCTGTACTGTGTCTCACAGCTCTGTTGTAAATATTTGCATGTACACAGATGTTCAGCTGGAATTATAAAAACTTAAAAAAGAAAAGCTAAATTTTCAAACTATTATTTGAAGACTATTCTGGGCAATTCTTCAATTAACTTATACAACAGCTAATTTAATATTGAGATTGTTGGTCACAGGTAATAGCTACTTCACAAAAACTTATTTTCTCACAGCCCTGCTATAATTATATTTTATCCACGGTGTTTATTATAGCCCCTTGGGTCCCAGTACACACAGAAAGGCTTCTGACAATACACATTCTCAAATGTTGGATCAAATCCGGCGTTCTGCCATTTCAAGACGGTATGACTAAACACATTCTTTCCAGAACTGCTTGAATAATACCAGCGGACAAAAGTTTTCCCATCAAAGGCTGAATAAACTTATTTCAGCCACGAGTAACTCAGTCTCCTCCTTTCAAAATGTTTCTGTTCATACATTTCAATAAAACCACCTGCTTCCTCACCAAAGTAGGCTGCCCATTCCCATTCAGGCAGCTCTTCCGGCAGTAGCTCCAGCGCTGCCTCTTCCAGGATGCTCTTGCAGTAGAGCCTTGGCTCGGAGCAGTGCTGGCCCTGCAGTGCTGCGGCTGCTGCCCTGGTAACACGCTCGTGCTGAAAAAAACCCCACATTTTCACTTTCTAAGGAGACAAGTGTTAACTGCATTGCCCCTACGACTTTTCATCATCGTTTGGCTCCATTGGTTTTCATCCAGCTTAGAAAGGAGGCTGGATGTGGCAGATGTCTGGAAAGGAAGTCACAGTAACCTTCCAGCACAATTTTAGGATACTGGACTAGCTGCTCTGTGTGCCCTTGAAGCTTTTATTTCAGTGAGGTTTTTTAATGCAAAGCCATTTGTGTGTGTATGTGTATATACATAAGCATACATAAAATTTTTTTTGAAACACAATATAACTGAAATCAGTCAGGCTTGGCAGATCTATGCTCTCTGCTACAGTGATTACCACTCTGTTTCCCATCCCTGCAAGCTCCATTTCCATTGGAGAGTAGCACCAGAAGCTATTCCAGCTCTGAGTAACTCAGCAGCAGTGCAGAGTGGGCAAAAGCTAATGGAAAATGGTAAAAAATAGAGCAATACATTTTCCTCTGCCAGACGATCCACTGCAGAGTAATGGTGTCTTGCTGCTACCAGCTAGACAAGATGTACTTTTGTTCAGCACTAGACCTGTTTGTTCATTATCATTGAACATGGCCTTTCAAAGTTGTCCAGCCACCAGGTGAAATAAGAAAATATATCTAAATGATTAAACACTTCTTTAAAATGGGCCTTCCCAGTCTCACTTGTAACACCATACAGCAAAAGAACAAACTTTACTTAAAAATCTTCCCTTCCTAACCTTGTCCATTTAGTATGTAAGCAGTAAAAAGGTTTGAAAGTTACTTGAAAATGGAAAATTTGCCCCTTGCTGTTTTTCACAGGTGTTGCAGGCAGAATAGTGCCAATCTGAGATTTGG